TATTGTATTTGCATTTACTTCCATGTCATTAATAATGTAGTTAGATCATGCAAATAATAAACTACGTGGGGCATCCTTTTTTTGTTACACTAAAATATGTTTTATAGACGGAACGCAGTTTTTCTCAGCAAGAAAAAATGATTATAAAGTATGAAATTATTGATCGTCATTTCTTCTATTTTCCTTATCATATTCCAGCACCAACGACTTATTAAAAGTAAAGAATAAGTGTGAGGATTGAATGAAATAGCATTGTTGGTAATGGATTCAGTACATGTGTTAAGGTTTAAATTAACATCCTTATTAATTCTATTGTAACAGCAAAAAAATGTCTGTAATATATGTTGAATTATAACCAATATACTTAAAAATTTATTCATTCTCGCTATGTATCGATATCCACAGTACGGTTATCACGGTCAAATTTATCAGTGCGCCATCTGATACTGATTCTGATCAGGATAAATTTATCATAGTTCGATTTCTGGAATTCATTAAGCAAATTTTATTTGGTGCTAAAGTATTCATCATCAATAGGAATATATAACCCGCTTTCTACGATACAAATTCAACGCTGCCTACTATTAATGATACTGAAGTGCAGCTTATTGTACAATACTCCAAAAACATCAATAGTAAGGTATCTGAAGGCATTACCTTTTCAATCCATCTTGTAGTTTGAACGGTATTTACTTTAAAGATTGAATTTATTCTTCGCGATTTCATGCAATAACATTTTTAAACTGTGTTGTCTAATCATAACGGTAAAGTTAGGTAAGTTTAAGATAGTAAAAAGGTTTTAGCATTGATTACTATAGTTTTTCGAAAACGATTTTGTTCACAGAATGAAAATAAACTGAAAGATTTCACCAAAATCTAGTGATTCGTAATTTTGGATGAACAATAGAAAAGGTATGAAGTCTTTGATCTGAAAATCCAAAAGAAACATGACACTGACTTGTCAATGTCTTCTGAAAAGATTGTCATGGGTGCTATTCTCAAGAATATAATATAGCTAATTGACGATTTTGTTTGTTTATTTCAGAAGCAACTCGTAACGCTAAACGCTAACAATGACGGCGCACTATTCTATCACAGAAACAACAAAAAATGGATTGCTTTCTCGCGTCTTCTATCGCAACACTTAACTTCCATGCAATATAGGTAGATCTTTATAAAAATAACTACTTTCAGCGATAATTACAAATGAAGCTATGATCTTTTAATTGGTGAGTATATGTCTTTTCCTCATCACCTTAATTGTTCGTTCTTAAATATCTTATATTATTAATTTCTCCAACTAGAAGATTTCATTTCCATTCATCCAATGTTTTCGAAACTTACTGCCGTAGTATACGATTATATGCACTTAATTAGCATGAACGAAACAAATGAAAATATATTAAGCACTGTCAGAAGATCCGAATAATACTGTTTCGCTTCTTGCCGATGGCCCATCGCATTTTCATAACTATGTTATTGCTTATGACATCGTTGTCGAGCTTCTTCAAACTTCAGATCGTGTTGAAAGTTGATATTTGTTAAGCAACATATTTACTCTCATTATAGTTTCGCCATATAGATCCCAATTATCAGCCAATTTGTGTGGTTTGCATTATTATTACTATTACATCAAATGAAAAAACATAGAGATCGTTTTCGTTTACCATTACATTAAAATCAACTGTCAGCTATATGACCAAAAACAGCTTTATGAAGTTAGAAATCTGGCTTCTCAAGGCTTATTCTGGACTCATACAAAATCAATCGTTGAACATCCATCAATCGCTAAATCACGATTTGATAGATTTTATAAAACTTCTCTTCTCTTCGGAATTACTTTGTTGAATCACTTTGAGCTGTCATTGTAATACTTTTTGAACTTTGTAATTGAAGACTCTAATATATTCATACTTCAGACTGATGCTTATACCTTTTTATTCAATTTTATTCAACAAATTATTCAAATACGCGAACAGTGATTTGGTACTTTATGATCATTGTTTCTCAAGCAAGGAGACAGAGTACTTTTCTTTTCGTATCAGATTCGATTACTATTCTGTCATAGTTCAAATGCTGAGTTTAGAGTACTCTGTTAACAGTATGATACAGGTATTTTTCTGTAGTTGGATTTTTTCATGTGTCTGAATGAGTTTTTTTCTTGAAGAATTTAAAATGAGTTGTCCCTAGATACTCACATAGTTAATCTGCAGAAATATTTTCAATGTACGGAAACGGATATTGTCAAGTGCTTAATCAGGTTTCGTATAGATTTCTTCCAGTACTCATGTACTGAGACGATTTTTAGTAAGATCTCTGACTAAATATCTGTGACATATTTTAGTAACAAGAGACTTTTTTAAGTACCTTCGGTAGAATCGTCTCAATAAACGAGTACGCTAAGCTTAGTACTTGGGCTAGGGCAGTAACTTGTATGTGAAAACATCATGAATAATACACTGTCATTGTAAGCATCCTAAATGTGATGATGAATTAAACTAAATAAGGTCTTATTAGCGAAAATCAAACGGATGTAAAAGAATATACAATTTGTGAAAACATAATAATATCGTAACTATCGAGTAGACTTGTATAAGTAAATTAGGTATGTATGATTATTTTTCATAAAGATGCTGACAATATAATCAAGAGTTACATCTTTTCCAGAACTAATTTAATTTATCAGCATTTGATTGCATTGCTACTAATGCTAATATAACTGTTTCATTATAAATGATTTGTATGCTAATGATACTCAAGTTTATTAGTTCGTTATGCGCTCTACAATTATACGTTGATTTACGAGAAAAGTAATACATATAAATAGATTAAAAGTCTATATTTAACTAGTACGAAAACATTTTTATCGATTTCTTCGTGATCATCAGTGATGTTATCTTCACCATTGGAATCAATAGTTGATGAAACAAATAAATATTATCAATCATCAACTTTTTTTTTGTTAAGATAATTATTGCTTTTCAAGTTTTCCTCTTTTGACAATATAAGCTAGATATGGTCAACTAAATGCTTCGTTCAATCTAAAAAGTGTTAATAAAGAAGAAGGGACTTTGTTTCATTTGACATTTGAATGCTACATTATCATTTGTAGATATTTATAATTAATATTAGTCTAAAATGCGTCATAATAAACATCAGACTATCAGTTTTTTAAATATCGTTTGATAGGCAATATTCAATAAAGAACGACTGATCTAAATAGAAATATTTTTCTTCATTTTATTTTTCCAACATTAACTTTGATGTATATCGATATTTTTCTGCACTATGAAAAACACTATTGCTACCGGGTTTTCTGTCATAACTCTTCACTATGCGCTAATTAAACGAAGCAACATATAAATATAAATTTTCTATATTAAAGTTGTTCAGGTTTCAACAAGTTTTCAAAATATCAGATCATCTGTTAACAAACATCACTACATCGAATAAAAAATTAAATATATTGTTTGTGATGAAATCACATCATTTTTATCTGAAGTTGCAGTTTAAACTAAGATAAAAAAAAGAAACAAAAGCAATTAGATATTGATCATTAGTCATTTTCAGGAAAAACCAAAGTTGTAGTTTCGATAAACAAGATACTCTATTTTGTTCAGAATTCAATGCTAATTTCAAATGTATCCAAACAAATATGTATGTATAAACAAAAAACAATACAGAATGTTTGATGGTCTGAAAATACCGCAATTTTCAGATACTAATGGAATTTGGAAACGTAGTATTTCTAGAAAACGGATAGAAGAAATTAAATCAAACAACATTCAAAATGACGGTGCTCGATAGAGCTTATTGAATTCTATCTAAAAGTGTTTTGATTCTGTTGAGAAAATGAACTATATAAGCTATTTCGGTTACAAAATTTCATTAACAATACAGATAATTTGTGAACACATTATTTTGGTTCTTATTTATCAAACATTTTTGCGAACGACATATATTGAAGGAGTAGGTTTTTTTGGAGATCAGCATTATTTAATGATAATAGATTTTTAAAAATAGAACTAATAAAGTGTTTGAATTGTAGACATTTTGCATAACTAGTCGGTTTTATCAGTTCAATCACGTTTACTTTAATGTCAGATGCATGGATGGAATCAATACTGACATAGATATCAGATCGATCAGCTACTGGTCTAATTTATTTACTTTCCCGCTACTTATGTAAGAAATTCATTTTTTTTCGAGTATTGATCATATCAAATGTAACAATCTAGAGATGGAAATGGTACGGATACTTAGATCGGTCGATCCAGTCCAGTGTAAGCTATTCAGATTGATACCGGTACCGATCATCAAAAATCCAAACCTGTTCAGTTTCTGATCAGATATGAAATCAATTACGTTACATACTAAATAGCCTAAATAACAACATATTATGTTTATTAAGAACAATATTTAGTTCAATAGAACCTGAGGAGAAAACAATAATTATCATCATATTTAACCTAGAATTATTGGCAACATCTTAAATTGTTTAATATTTACTAAATATCCTGCACAAAGACTTTGCAAATCTAAAATTTTCGACCTAAGTTGCAACCTTTTATCATACAAAATAAGCTAATTATTATTGTCAATAATTTGAAATATCAATTCAGTTTTGTTCTATTCCATTTATATACATACCAAAAAAAGAAAAAGAAATATAAATAGGGTTTTTATGAACAGAAAATATAACACAAAAAAAGAAAAAGAAAAACTAAACTCATCCAAGAAATATATTATAGTTGCTGGTTTGTTTTGCTTTTTTTGAATAATTTTCAAGTCAAAATAGTGAATGCTTTTTGTTAATATACGAATACGTGCAATTACAAAAAAAGTCGAAGAACACACAGACACACACATATGTATATATATTAATACAAAGTAGAAAATGGCACTATATATATATATATACTTTTAACACAGGAGAAGAAGAAAGGAAAAGCTAAAAAACAAAAGGTAAAAAAAAAAAAGAAAGAAATTGAAGAAATTTTTCAATGAAAATAATCTCCTCCAAGATCTTCATGTGAATCATACATTTTTTTCTTATCGATTTCTGGTGATAAAACTTGAGCTTCATGTTTTCTTTGTTCTTCAGTATCAATATCAAGTATAGAAGAAAGATTTAATTGTGGTTGAGAAGTTGATATATTTGATGATGAAATTATTGAATGTATTATAGGTGTAAATATTTCAGATGTTTGTGTTGTATGAGGAATTTTTATAGATTGATTTCTATGACTATCAACTAATTGTGAATCTGATTGACTAATATTTGTTGTTGTTGTTGATAATGGTGGTGCTGATTTAGAAGATAACGTAAGAGAATTAGGTCGATTAGATGAATAACAATGTTCTGTTCGATAATCTATATTTGGAGATCCATTCGTTTGAGTAAGAGTATCTGTTATAGGTGATGAACAAGCTCGTTTATGTTGTTTTTTAATTAATGGAGATGGAGTTGTATTAGTTGAAGATAATGGTGATGTTTGTTGTACATTTGGTATTTCACTTGTTGAACGAAGTATTGTATGATTATGAATTTTTTTCATTTTTGTATTTGAAGAAGATGAAGATGAATTTGAAAAAGAAGGTGTAAACAAAGTAAATTCAGAAAAATTAGATGGAGTTGGTAGAGGTAGACCAAGTCCAATTGAAACTAACATTGAATTAACATCAAAAATACCACGAACTAATGAACGATCATTTGGTGTTGAACATGTTGAAGAAGAAGAAGAACCTATGAGAAAAAAACAACATAATAGTTAATTTAAATTGTTAAAATTAACCGAAAACAAAGAAGTTGACGTGCAAAATAAGCAAATTAGGAATCCATTTCAAAATATATGATATTTGTCAATAATATTCTTTGATGTAAAAATCAATAATTTTATCTTTCTCAAATGAAATAGATTTGGTCATAAACCATCAGCTCACAGAATTTTTCCATATATCATATCTTCAAATGGAAGGCATTAGATTGGGAACAGGTATTTGATGGTAGAGGATCAGGCTAAGGAGAAAAGAGCTGACTCTTTAATATTATGACTTTCTTTTGGTAAAGTTAAAATGTATTATAGGTATTAATCAGAGAAATTCCGATATCCCTTCCCAAAAGGGTGCCTTTCATAAAAGCTATTCAAAAAAAGTTCACTTTCCTGAATGTTATCTCTCTCTAAATAAAATATTTTCATTTATGTTTGTAGTTTAAGACAACAGACATCATGGTGGTAAAATTTGTTTCGTTTTTTTTTTGGAAGTTTGTTCCTGACAAGAGTTATCACTAAAACAGCATCATTTTTACAGTTTTGGTAATAAAACAAGATGACTCAGTAATGTCAAACTATAGCTCAACTTTTAGTGATACTATTAGTAATTTCCACTTTTTAATATACCATAGTAGTGTTCAGAATGTGATAAACTTAGTTTCAACATTTTTGACGAAAATTGACCTTTTTCGAGGGACGGGAGAGGAAACCTTAAAATATAATTTCGAATGTATAAGTTCGTTCGTTTTATATTTCGAGAAATCTTCTGCTCAAGTTTGGCTAAGCATGGTCCTTTATAGCGGAACAGGATTAAGCGTATATGAACTCTATATATGCCGATCTGAGTTATTTGCAGAAAAGTCAAGCGTATGTTTTTTGAGCTAACTAGGGAACTGCAATCTACCGTTTGAATTTATATTGAAACCACAAAGGAGTCTTGATAAGACCAGAAGAATCCTAATAGGGTTCATGTTCATGGGTTTCTAAAGCTGAATTATGACTGTTTTACTGAATAGGAGGAGATCGAAGTACGTAGTCCTATATAAAACGAAAAATTTTCGAACTGATCTAAGAGAGGTTTCAGGCAAATCTTAGAAAAGTAGCTTGTCAAAGGTGGAAGAGCTGATGGATTGTTGACTTCCATCAACGCATTCGATGCGTAAGATCCTTCTCTACAACTCTACGCAAACTGCAGATCTCTACGACATTGTGTTCAAATGCTAGAGCTCAAGTAGCAAATCTGTGAAAAACCAGATTTTTAGCTCGGAAAGCATGCTTTCATGCTCGATACATGTTCGAAAGCAATCGTCTCATAGGTTTTTGGACTCGCTGGTCATCGTGACACTTTTTGTTTTGTTCTATAAGAAACTTTTTCTCCTGCGATTGCCGAAATTGACTCTAGTTTTGGGTTGTTTTTAGTCTATTTTGCCGCCAATTACGCGTCGAAAACAAAATATTATATTTAAAGCGAAGTTCAAAAATCTAAAACAATTAAACGATGGGAAAAAAACGTTTCTTGTAGAACAAAACAAACAGTGCCACGATAACCAGCAAGGCCAAAAACCTATGAGACGGTTGCTTTCGAACATGTATCCAGCATGAAAACATGCTTTCCGAGCTAAAAATCTGGTTTTTCACAGATTTGCTACTTGAGCTCTACCATTTCAACGCAATGTCGTAGAGATTTTCAGTTTGCGTAAAATTGTAGAGAAGGATCTTGCACATCGAATGCACTGATGAAAGTCAAAAATCCATCACGTTTTTCACCTTTGACAAGCTATTTTTCTCAGATTTGCCTGAAACCACTCATAGATCTGTTCGAAAATTTTTCGTTTTATATATGGCTACGTGCTTCGGTTTCTCCTCTCCCTAATGATGAAAATCGCAGGTCACTGTTATTCGATTTACGATGGTAAGCCTTCTTTTTTGAAATGGATAGTAAAAATAGATCAAAAAAGTCTTTTAAATGCTTACTGGTTTATATTTTTCAAATATTAACAAATATATATATATTTTGAAATGGATATTAAATGAAGTTTTCTCATATGTGCTCTTAATTAATCAGTACTATATTGAAATAGTAAAAAGTAAACGAGAAGAACTAAAATCTAAGTGTTAATTTTGATATTATTTTATAGCTAAATATATTAAGAAGATGACCAAGAAATAGAAAACTCTTGCGTACGAAGTATTTTAACAATAATCAGTTGTTTCTGTATGAATAAATATGAGATGAAAAACAATACAAATGCAAATTATTAGTTGATATGTTTTATTTTGTTAAAGTTTTACTTATTTCATTAGAATTTTCTGAAATTATAAAATAATAAATGATAAAATTAGAATCGAGAAAGACAAAAAAAAAAAGACAATTTAATTTTTCTTTTTATTTACCTAATTTTTGTCTTGATTGCTCAATATTTGAAGTTGATATTGTTGTATTATCATTATTTGAATTCATAGATGACATAGTTTCTATATACCATTTAGGTTCACCAAGACGTGCATGATTTTTTGGATGTTTTCGTTTTATTGATAATGATGATGATGGCCATGGTTTAGATTTACGCCAATGTGAATGTTGTGGTAATTTTGTTGATGACATTTTAGTTTCACCAGTTGATGAAGAACGTGTAGATTTTGGAGTTGTAGTACCATGAAACTCATCAGATATAATTGGAACATGAACTAAAAATAAAATGTTTTTGTTTTTTTTTTATCTTTCATTATAATGAATTAAATAAAAACGAATAATTTTTCGATTGTTGTTTTACTAATTGTTAAAGCTTAATTCTATCATAAGTCAAATATATATTACATGCAAAATAAGAAATGTTAATAAAGAATTATAATGAGCAGAATAGTATAAGCTAATGATCTATAATAAATCTAAATTATATATATATGATATGAGCTCAAAGTAATGATAGAAAGCAAATGAAAACTAAATCTCTCGAGATATCTGAATATAGAAATATTATATGATAGCGCAAGAGAAATCATTTTATTATGATAGAAATATACCTATGTTATGATGTTGTTTATCATCAATGTAAGAAAAAAACCTTCCTGTATATTTTGTTTTCTTACCATCATTGCTTATTAAAGGTTCTTCATCATCAATTTTATTTATAATAAGTTCTCCACTTGCTAGAAATATAGAATTTTTATCTAATTTTTTATATACTATTCTTTAAACTTATTATTAATAAAAATTAATTTTAAAGAATAAAAACAAAAAAAAAAGAAGAAATTTCAATATTATAATTAATTGACATACGTACAAGTTAATGTTCGAAGTCGACTTAAATTAGGTGTTGTTGGTGTACTCTGACTTGTATAAATATTTGATGAAGTATGTTGAGAATTCGATGAATCAGAATATATTGGTGTTATTATTGTTGAATTTGATGAAAATGTATGATTTGTTGGAGATAATATTTGTGTTGATGATGGATCATAATCAATTGCTGGATGATGATGTAAATTATGTTCACGACAGACAGATACTAAGTGACGAAAATCTAAAGAAATATTATCATGTAAAAAAAAAAAAAAAGAAAAATTTTTTTTAAAAATATTTATAAAACAAACTTGTTGGACCACTAATTAAATCTGATGTAGTAGTTGGTGAAAGTATGATATTACCATTAAGTGCTGCATGTAAAAATGAACGTCCACCACAATGAATTGAACGTTTTTGTACTTTTGGTGTTGGTTGATAATGACGTTCTTGAGTACTAGTTGTTAATAATAATTTTAATTCACGTTCAATAATATGCATTTCACGTTCATGTAATTCATGTTCCCATTGTTCTAATCTCACACGTTGATGATTTTGTTGAATTGTTAATTGAAGCATTGCTTGTTCACGATCACGAATTTCCTTAAAATGAAATATTAAAATTAAAAAAATTCTTCTTATATAGATTACATAAATCTAACTAGATAATGGATTAATGATCATAAAGTTAAGTTCTAGAAGCATAATTAAGCTTGACATATTCTATCGGTTAGTATATATTGAAATAGTCACTATGATGTATGAGAGGAGAAAATCAAGATCATGCCTACTTGTATTATATTTCAGTATTACACTTGTGCATTACGATTGTCAGTTAATTATTTTTGTTTAAAAAAAAATATTCGACAAAATTTATTTATGTTTTAAACAGAAGAATTTCTATTTCATTATCAGTATGAAAAAGTGAGTTGACTTATGTATTTTCTCTTCGGATAAATATTCACTCCTTATGAATCAATTAAAAGTTATCTGAATAGCAGAAAGCAAATTCTGAAATTGTACAATACAATACGAAGACAAAAATACATGTGACTAAGCAAATAAAATTAGTGCTTTGATCGATTCTTGAGTGGAGAAGAACATTAGGAGTGAATATTAGGCGAAACAAAACAAAAAAAAATTGAAAAATACATAAATCAATTCATTCTTTTTTTGTATTGATTTCAAATAGGATATTTGTTTGAAGTGGTCCAATTTTTGTTTGATCGTACAAAGTATTATTTGATCCAAAATAAAAGGAAAATTATCATTTTTCGAATAACTTTTGATAGAGATTCGTTTTGTACTTCTTGAAAAGTTCTATCAATTGCGAAGTGAATTGTGTGAAAAAAAAAAGTTTCATCAACATAATAATTAACTCGACAAATGGAATACACACGGATATTTCGAACACAAAATGTAAGAGAGATTTATATATATATATGCATATGATCTCGGAGATTCAACACATTAATTTAAAATAGAAATGAATTTATTCGATTACTTGTTCTTTAGTTTTTAATTCTTCAAAAATATCTTGAATTTCTTTACGCCAATCTTGTTGTAATGATGAATAATTTTCATCATTTGATTCTATATTATTTAATTGATTATTTCCATAATTTGTTTCAATAATTTTATCAATTTTTTCATATAATTGATTGAATGTTGGTCGATCTTGTGGAAGAAGTTGCCAACAATCTAAATAATTTATATTAAGAAAAATACTTCTAAAGATAGAAGAAAAAATTTTTCTTTCGATAAAATAAACCTTTCATTAATTGTGAAAATTCTTCTGGGCATGTACTTGGAATAGGTAATGAATATTTATTAGTAGCAATACCAAAAGCAACTTGCATTTGATCAAATCCTTTATAAGGAATTTCACCTGTTAAACATTCCCAAAGAAGAACACCAAAACTAAAAAAAATTATTTAATTAAAATAAAAAAGTGAACAATATTAAATAAATATTATACGTGCGAGTTGAACGCATGACTTTAATCAAGAGAATTTTGTATGTATCCTACAGTAAATCTCAATAATAGAGTTCATCGGGTCCGGGTAAGATCCGATTTTTAATCATTCGGATTCCGATTTAAAAATTCTTGGAATCAATCCCAAGTCGATCATTTCAGTTACCAGATATTGCAGGAAAGACATGGAAATCGGCCCGTACTTCTCGACCTGGGATGCCTCTACTCAATACAGTATTATATATAGTCTGGAACAAAAGTTTAAGCGAAATTGGTTTTTCAGATTTATTTTTTTTATATCAAAAGGTATCGATCGGATGATATAGATAATACGAGAGGCTGGCTATATGATATATTATAGAACGAGACTTTGCCTATCTATATAGATTTGTTTATAATTGAAATATATATTTTTTTAAGCTTAAGTGCCTTTCAGTATTTCACATTTCTTAACAAGGAGATTTTAGCTAAAATAAAAACAAAATATATCAATCGATAGAGAATTTCAAGTGCTATCTGTTTATAAAAAAGATTTTTTCCTGGAGTTGATCTTCATCCTCAAAACTTGGTTTTAATGAGAATAGTCAGCACAAATAAGAAAAGTAAATTACCTCCAACAAACTTTCTCTTATTATAATGTTTTATACACCATTGAAAAGAGCATTCAAAACCCAACAAAATATTATATTCGAAGTTCGAATATCATTGATTTTTGACGTCCACCTTATTAGCTTTTTTTTAAAATTATTTTGACAGGAGAAAAATGCTGGATATTCTCACTAAAACCAAGTTTTGAGGATGAAAATCAACTCCAGGAAAAAATCTTTTTTATAAACAGATAACACGTGAAATTCTCCTTGTTAGGAAATGCGAAATACTGAAAGGCACTTAAACCTAAAAAAAAAACGAAATATGTCAATTATGAAAAATCTATATAGATAGACAGAGTCTCATTCTATAATATAATCATATAGTCAGCCTCTCGTACTCTACTACATTCAGTATCAGTTGAATGTATATTTTCTTAAAATGAACTTTCAAAATTTTTCTTGATTATGTATTACCTCCAAACATCAGATTTTGTTGAAAATTCATTATTACGAATACATTCTGGACTCATCCAAGGAAATGTTCCAGCAGTTGCCGTGCTTGATGATTGTATTTGTGTTCTTGCAAGACCAAAATCTGTAATTTTTAATGTTTTATATAAAAGTTCATTATCATTATGAATATTTTCAATTGCTTCTAAAATAAGAACTAAAACAAACAAACAAAAAATTAACATCTGAATATCTTTTGTTTTTTTTTTGTTTTACTAACTATTTGAACATTTTAAATCTCGATGAATAATATATTCAGGTGCTTCTTCATGTAAATATTTCATTCCATCAGCTATTTGTTTAGCATATTGAATAAATACATTTGGATATAGACCAGATTTTCTTCGTTCTAAAAGATAATTTAATGCACCACCATATGCATATTCCATAACAAGATAAAGATTTCTTGTTGATATTGATGGACTAACACCAAATAATTGAATTATATTTCGATGTCGAAGATTAGAAAAAAGACGTGCTTCATGTAAAAGACCCTCGATAAGTTTTTTTTGTACAGCATCCGATGTTTCATCATCATGAGATTTATATGATGTTGGAATTTCAATAGAATTAAATGCTGTTAAAGATTTAGCAGATTTTATTGCAACATCAACATCACCAAATTTTCCATAATGAACATGACTAAAATAGACAAAAACAGACTCATCATTCCAAAACACGTACACTTCATAAACATGGTTAAGTTGTACAAAGATTTTTTGATTTTTTTTTGTAATAAAGTTTGTAAACTTTTATTCATAAAGAATAAATGTAGAGTTTAGTTGGTTTTATTTTATTAAAAATTCTTACCCAAAACCACCAATACCAATTAAATTTCCAATTTGTAAATCTTTTTCTTCAATAATACGTAAATTTGGTTCAATACTAGCAACAAAATTAGCCGGAAATATACCAACAGATTCTGAATCAATAAGTCTACCCGTCCACCATCCTTTTGAACCTGAGATTTTTTCATCTTTTGATATAACTTCTACAATACTTCCACGTCTTTAAAAACAAACAAAGTTTATTTATATTTATTTAATTTTCTTTTTTTTTCATACTTTAAAGTTAATTCATCATCTTCTTTACTTGTATAATCATAAATAACACGTAATATATCATCATTTTTTTTATTAATAGATGATGAATTGGTCATGATCAATGATGTATTTGTTAAACACATGTCATACAAAAGAATTTAATTATAAACATTTTATATTAAACATTAAGGTTATTTACAAAAAAAAAAAAAAATAGACAAAAGAATAATCTATTTTTATTTTTATTTTTTTCGAATATGTGATTTATTTACGACGATGCAAACATTTTTTTATCCGATTGGATGAACACAATTATTATCTAATAAACTAGCGACATCTAAATAAAGATAAACATATAATCTATTCATTTTTATTTATTAAATAGAATTCAATAAAAATTTATTTTAATTAAATAGTTTGTTTTTTTTAATTTTCAATAAATAGATAATTATGAACATTTTTGACTATTGTATAAAATTTTTTCTCGTCCAAGTCAAATTAATCGATCGATCTCGGAGGAGATTCGTTTTTTTTTTATTATTATCAACATGATGAATATCGGAAAACGTAAACTTTTTTCTATAAATGATGATCCACTATCATTATCATCTTCACCAACAAAAAAACGTTTTTTACAATTTATGTAAGTTTTAAAGAAACTGAGCGAATTCAACTTAACCAATAAAAAACTTGGTTTTCGTTTTTTTTCTTCTCCTTCTTTAGGCCATTTAATCTAAAATCATCTTTCGTTCAATCTGATATTTGTTATCTTAGTCAAATACCAACTGAAATGCGTGATTTAATTTTATTAAAATTATCACGTTTGTTTCTTTTTTTTTGTATATTTAATAAGATTATTTATTTATGTATTTTTATTATTGCAGCACATGAACTTCATCAATTAGCTAGTACAAGTAATGAATATTTTTCTATTGTATTAAATTTTCTACGATCATCAATGGGTACTCCTTATCTGAAATATATATTGGAAACAACACCAGATCGTCGACGATCAGGTGCTTGGGAAAATCTTGGTAAGCAAAAAAAAAACAATGAAATAAATTATTAATATTTACAAATAATATTAGGTCGATTATATGGTTTAATGACAAGTCTTGTACCACTTTTGCGTCGAATACAAATTATTAAAGATGTACTTTTTACAAAGGTAAGAATTTCGGTTGAAAGTTTCTAACATAAGTCAGTATTCATCGATGAGGTAAGCACACTAACTATTAACCTCTATTTGGACTTACAAAGTCTCGATAGAGGAGGAATCTTATTATTCGATTTTTCGGTAAACATTTGACTGTGAGTTGAAAACTCATCTAAAGACCCATGGAAACAAACACTCCATAAATGAATTATGATGTGTTACTTCTTTTGAATCTCTCAAGAAACAGTTAGTGTCAAAATTAGCTTTACAACTTAACAGGACTCGATTTTTCGATTTCCTCCTAGCTTGTGTTGCTAGAAAATTTCTCCGATGAAATACCGGAACCCTAACGGGGGGAGGGGGAAGTAGATTCAGAACGGTTAGTTTTTTCTATAAGCATTAATGGAGAAATCTGGAATGCACGGAAACGTAAAAACCTCTATTTTCCTATATGGTGGTTCAGAAAAGCCTAGATAATATCTTTAAATCTCATCATAAAATCAATAAACTATAGTGCATTCGAGGGCAGACACTTTGTTCTATCCAACGAGCTATAAATCATAAAATTAGTTTTTTCTGAGGTAGCTCTCTTAAACGACTTCAGGTAAACTAATTTTCGACTTGAAATATTGTACAGAGACTGTCCTTAACGAGAGTACTTCATCGTGAAAGTTTTTGGCTTTTTTATTTACTTTCATCCCTCCCAAAAAGAATAGCAAATCTACCTCTAGGGCATTCGTCGGGCGTAAACAATGTTTGAACCATAAAAAAGCAGCCCGATATTGAGGCGTGCTATGAGAACATGTTTTTATCATAACTGTCTTTGCGCCATGCTTTGAGTCGAAATTGATTTTTACCTGAGAGGACTACAGTATTGGATTAAAACCTACCGTAAAAGTGCAGTATTTCGACAGCCATCAGCTAAGGTTCTGAACTGTTTTCACGATATTCATAGCTTATTTAGGTCTATACAATGTGCACAGTCCTAACTCAAAAGCAATTAATCAGTTGGGAGGCCATCCTTGTCAGTCAGGATATAAAAAAAGATCTCTAATGTTAACACAGATGCCGATTTGTACTAACGACTTCTTTCAACTTGACTCTTGTATTCTTGTCTTTTTCTTTTTTTTTTTACATAGTTAAACTTATTGGGTGATGGCACATCTATTGAAGATTTATCTCATATTGGTCGATTTTTTGGTGAAGCAACAAGACATTGGTCCGAACGAGAAATTGCTTGGGCATTTTCTCAATTAGATTCACATATACAATTAAAGAAAAAAATTGATCGATTTTATTCATGTGAACATGGTAGATTTGTTATTTAGATTATTATTTGAAAATATTTCTTTATTGTTTTTGTTTTTTATTAGTTGGTATTGAAACTCAACTTGAACATTCAATACGTTTTTGTTTTCGTTTGGTTTATTTTGATTCAATTCGACTTCATGCACATCGTGGTTGTTTATTAAATGTTATTCTTTATAAACAACCAATTTGGTTTCAAGCACGACTTATTTATTTATTATTTGGACCAATGTCATTAAGTAAAAAATCAAAAATAAAATATTTAATTTAATTTAATTTAATTTAATTTTAAGATAAAATTGATTGGGAAAAATTTTCTCGTGATCGAACAAATTTTTTTATTTATCCAAATGTTGATGAAGAACAAGCTTATTTTGATTTAAGTCGTGCTTTTAATGTACTTAATCGATCAGTACATGCTCAAAAAGGATGGAATAGTAATAGTAAACTTGCTTTATTAAATGAACTTATTGGTAATAAAAAAAAAGAATTTCGATATGTATTACATAAAAAAAACAACTGTTTTATCTTAATTTTAGCACAACCAGTACCATGGAAATCTGAATATGTCGCTGAATTATTATTCTATTGTGGTAGAGAATTATTAACAAATGTATTAATTGCTTTTGCTGTAAGTTAGAATCGGACAAATGTAGAATTAAATTCTTGATTTTAAATCAGATTGAACATAATGAAGGAAGACTGATTTAAAAGGCTATTAGCATGATTCTCAATCCAAAACCTTGATTTACATAAGCGCACATCCTTCGAGAGTGTGTATCAATGAAACTTTGATTATATTTAATTATCTACCCATTTGGAAAAATCATGGATTAGATCTTTTCAAGTCTCTTGATAGTCTTAGTTGGAACCAAATCAGGCTCTTATGAAACACGATCTGAAAGGAGTGTTGAAATTATAGCCCATTGGGTCCAAGGATTTTTGGACCCACTACAGATCGTGACAGGCGCCCTCGTTGAGTCATACAAAAGCTTTACACGTTGAGATGAGTACGACCAATGATTTTTAGTCCTGAATCCCGCCGATATCGGAATCCTCTTGTCAGTCTCACACTGTTCATTCATTCTATTCTGCATCATCCACGAAACTTTAGATTATTGTGTTTTTTATTTAGATAAAAAATTATCATAAAGAATATGCACAATTAATTAATTCATTATGTATAGTAAGTTATTAAAAAGTCTAAAGATGAGATTATTTAAATTCTTTAAATGTAGGTTGCTCGTCAACGTAAAGCATATTATGAAATAATTCAAATGGCTATTGACGATTCATTTGAACGATGTACACTTATTGCACAACGAAATTCAATTATTATTCATTTACAAAATGCATTTCGTTGTGTGACAAGAAATGTAATAGCTGTTCTTGGTAAGATAAATTTTTCAAAAATTATTTGAATTTTTCTGTTTTTTTTTTTTTTAAGCATCATCAACAATAACACAAACAGATCAATTACATTATTTACAACAACTTGAAGCATTAGATGCACAAAAAGCATCACTTATTTCATTTCTTTTAACAAATCAATTTGATCAGAACAATTAAATAAATATTTCTCTTTTTATTTATTTATTTATTTTGTACACATTTAGATGTATTTATTTATAATTGTTTTTTTTTATTGTATACACATAAAAGATTTATTTTTCATTCTGTTATTATTATTTGTATATAATTGAAAATTTTGATGATCGAAAAAAAAAACAAAACATGTTATTTTATTTTTAAGTAATTGTCTTTATTTTTTTTTTGTTGTTGTACTTTTTGCATAACTACAAGAAGTTTGTTTTTAAGCGTTATGAACAGAATAAATAAAATCAATCATATGACCAAAACGTCAATAAAAAAAAATATTAGTAGATGATGATTATTATTAAAGAAAAATAGTCATTATGAAATTGCATTTTATAGATTATGGTAAGTGCGTATGACATTGATTAATTATAATAATCAACAACTGGCATAATACATGTGAACAGGGTGAGAATGTAGTTCTAGGGATAGAGAAGAACTACATCCACATCCTTTTGTCCTCTCATTTTTAACTTCAAGATGAGGATCTTATAAAAAGTGCTTAGCCTACCGTAGAATGAAAACGTTCTAACGTCTATGAATTTAGATATTTAACTTTTCTACTTACGAGAAAAAGTTCCCAAGTGATTTATCACTTTTAAGTCTAAACTATCTGCATCATGTCAGTAGTGTAGAACTCGTTAAGTCGTAACGACTTTTCAACTATTCGGGTGTGAGTGTGGGTGTGGGTGTCCTTTTCATCAACACGCACACCCACGCCCGCCACCCACACTCTACCCTACATCCCATACCCACCTACACCCATACCCATAGCCCACACCCATAACCCATACCCATAGCCCACACCCACACCTATAGCCCACAGCCATACCCATAGGCCACACCCCAACTATTGAATAGTTGAATAGTCGAATTTACGACTATTCAACTATTGAATGGTTGAATAGTCCAATTTACGACTATTCAACTAATGAATGGTTGAATAGTCGAATTTACGACTATTCGAGTTTTACATGTATGAAAAATTTCATTCATGATAATCAATGAGAAAGTGAAACTCCAATCATATGACAGGTACGAATTGAAAAAAAGAAA